AAACACCTTTCAGACATTCTTATCAAATGAAGAAAGAGCCAGAGTAACAGTTCGGTGACTAACAGAAAAGTATAATATTCATACACTTTCACAGTCTCTCTGGCCATTCTTTTTAATGCAGCTTCTTTTTTTAAACCAAAGAACTGGATAAAATTTTTTGGGTTTTCCAAAGTATTAAAGTAATACATGCTCATTGTAACAAGGCAAATAACTCAATTGTATAAAGTTCCATTGCCTTCCTCTTTCTCACTCCAACCTTGAGATAACCCATCTTATGCCCCTGAGATTTTATTTTAACCCATGAGATAACCCACTTTAAAGCCTATTGTGTATCACTCCATGTTTTATTAATATGTTTACACAGTCTTATTCACACATACATTTGCATAACATACCCCAGTTTTGTAATACAACCTATTACAAATCTGGGATAATCTCACGTTGTTCTGCAATTTGCTTTTTAAGATTATCATAAACATTTTTCCAAGCCAATATACACAATTTGACCACACTGTTTTGAATGGCTGCACAGTATGTCACGCTATTAATGTAAAACAAATTATACAAGCATTTCCTTGTTGATGAACAATTAGAGTATTTACCGACAGCTTGCTATTACAATGTTACAGTTAAAATACTAGCGCATGTTTGTCTACAAATTTATTATGTTTTTTACTTCTATAGGATAGATGCCTATATGCGGGAGTGATGTCAAAGAGAGTATACATTCTTACTTTTTAAAAAATTCTGCCAATTACTTTCCCAAAAGACAGAACCAACAGTGTTAGTGTGTGCCCTTTTCCAGCAACTTTGATACTGCTATATGTTATCAACCTTTTAAATATTGTCAAGCTGGGGGTAAAAAAAATCAGGTTTTGTAATTTGCACTTTCACAAGATCAGCTGAAATATTCAGCTGTTATTTTATTGTAGCTCGTATTAAAAGCTATATTCATCATTTGTCAAGAGACACCACATTCTTTTTCTGCATTTCTTTTTAAAACCCCAAAGGACACAAACCTTATATACTATTTGCTTTGTAAATGCCCTGTGAAAATAAAAATCTTAACTTACCTACCAGGAGAGTTAATGCCGCAATTCTGTTATATGAATTCAACTATGGATATTATCCAAATTACGCAACAGGATTCTAATTTTTAATCATCTGAACTACATGTCAATCTTAACCATCAAAAAAGTTTTGCCAGCCGAAACCGGTTTGGCTCAGTGGATAGAGCATCGGCTTGCGAACTGAAAGGTCCCAGGTTCGATTCCGGTCAAGGGCATGTACCTGGGTTGCGGGCACATCCCCAGTGGGGGATGTGCAGGAGGCAGCTGATCGATGTTTCTGACTCTCTATCTCTCTCCCTTCCTCTCTGTAAAAAATCAATAAAATATATTTTTAAAAAAAAAGGTTTTGCCAACTCTCCAACCTGGCTGTCAAAGTCAAATTAACAAAGCATTAACAACCAAGAAAGCAAACAAAATCTGCAGACTGTCACTAAAGCGTAGTATGGTAGTGATAATGGGGCTCCTTTGAATTGAAGAACAGGAAGGCTTATCTGAGGTGATAATAATTAAGACCTAAGTATCAAAAAAGAACCAAGTGTGTGTAGATAAGGAAGAAGAAGGCCCAGAAGGTATGGTCAAGGAACAGAAAGGCCAATGGGTCTAGAAAATAGTTACGGCACTATCGTAGATTGGACTGTAATGACTGAGAGTGGAGCAAATAAGAGATAGGAATCGGGAATCTTGTTTGCACATGTGAAGTTTGAAGACTATTATATATTCAAGTGCACATGAGGTTAAGCAACCCAAGAGGTGACTCCAGGGTCCAGGAAGAGGCCAGGGTTAAAGATATGGATTTAGCAGACATTGACGTCAAGATGCCATTTAAAGCTACTAGACACAATAAAATCGCCTAAGGGTCATCCAGAAAAATGAAAAAAGTCAAAGGGTGGATTTATAGAGAAATACCATCACAGTGAAGCACTACATGTTCTTGAAAATATAGTGGTGGTACACTCTGATTTAAAGATAGGACTTTGAAAATTAGATCTATCTAAAGCTTTAATATGCAATTTTTTAACTATACTGATTTATGAGCAAACACATTAACTATCTGTCACAAAGTATTATTACCTGGTGCATGTAAAGTGTTGGCTACTTAAAGAAATTGTTAAAGGGGGTTTATTGTGTGAAACAGTAAATTAAAAACATATTTAAGTACTTTGATTCCTATGACATTGAGAACGAATGCCTCTTTAAATTCTGTACCCTTGGCGCTTTCCCTTCCCTCTCTCCTCTCTCAGCATAGTTGATTCCTTTGAATTAGTCTAAAATATGTTTTATTTCATTTATTCAGTGACTAAAATAATGAATGTGCATATATCAATTAAAAAGTTGACATCTAAAATAAAAATCCCAATATAAAGTTTAAAGAGGGCTTGGAAATTTACAAATGCCATGACCTAACAAAAATGAAACTAATTCGGTCCTCCACTTCTCCTAGTTTACTGTTGAAACCTTCCATAGCATTTTGATTGTAGCTATATTAAGAGTGGAAACCATAAAAACCTTAGACGAATCCATAGGCAGCAAAATAGGAGGCATTTGTCGTAGCAATATCTTTACCGATACAGCTCCTAGGGCGATGTAAACTAAGGAGAAAATAAATAAATAGGACTACATCAAAATAAAAAAGCTTCTGCACAGCAAAAGAAACCATCAACGAAACAACAAGAAAGCCCACTGCATGGGAGAACATATTTGCCAGTGTTATCTCCGATAAGGGTCTAATCTCCAAAATTTACAGGGAACTCATACAACTTAACAAAAGGAAGATAAACAATCCAAAAAATGGGCAAAGGATCTAAATAGATATTTTTCAAAAGAGGACATACAGAAGGCCAAGAACCATATGAAAACATGCTCAAAGTCATCCGAAAGATGCAAATCAAAACAACAATGAGGTACCACCTCACACCTATCAGAATGTCTTTCAACAAATCAACGAACGACAAGTGCTGGTGAGGATGCAGAGAAAAAAGAACCCTCTTGCACTGCTGATGGGAGTGCAGACTAGTGCAGCCACTGTAGAAGACAGTATGATGTTTCCTCAAAAAATTAAAAATGAAACTGCCATTTGACCCAGTAATACCACTTATAGGAATATATCCCCCCCAAAACAGAAACACCAGTCAGAAAGGATATATGCACCCCTATGTTCATAGCAGCACAATTCACCATAGCTAAGATTTGGAAACAGCCTAAGTGCTCATCAGCAAATAAGTGGGTTAGAAAACTGTGGTACATCTACACAATGGAATACTATGCTGCTATAAAAAAGAAGGAATTCTTACCATTTACAACAGGATGGACCTGGAGAGCATTATGCTAAGTGAAATAAGCCAGTCAGAGAAAGATAAATATCACATGACCTCACATATTTGTGGAATATAAAGAATATCATAAACTAATGAACAAAAATAGATACAGAGACAAAGAAGCATTGAACAGACTGTCAAACTTCAGCAGTAAGGCAGGAAGGGTTGGAAGAGGAGGTAAATCTGGGAGTAGGGGAGGCCAGGGGAAGGTCAATGGTGGAAAAAAGGTGGAAAATAGTAGTACATATGTACTACTATTTATAATACTTTAAACAATAAAAGAAAGCAAATGAAACTAAACAGACTACAACTAATTTTAATTTCTTAATTTATCTTACATCGTGGAATTGGTTCTTGGAGTATCACTTTTGAAAGTTAAAAAATTGTTTAACACTATGTACATCAGAAAAGTCCAATATACATTTAATTTTCAGATTCCTTTACAAGTTTGTTTCCTCTTTCTGGCAATAAACATAACAGAAAGGATGAGTTTGTAATGAAATTGAAACAAAAAAGCAAAAGATTCACTAAATGATAAGTTTTGTTTTGAAGCCATTAAATCAGTGCCAGGTGTTTTCCAAGCAAGAGGCTGAGACTCTTACATACCTGATGACTATAAAACAGCACTTATATATGCAAGGCAAGTTGAGTTTCTTGATCTATAAGTAAGCAATTTTAACAAATAATCTACTTATGTGATTTATTAAATGTATTATTTATAATAACATACAGATATATTGTAATTATAGAATGTATACAATCTTGGTTAAATCCAAGCAATAAGTACATAAACTTCATGAATAATGATTTTATTCAAAAGAAAAATATAAAATGAATAAAGCAGTAAAAGATGAATAAAATAAAGTGAATTAAGAGAAGTGTAGTTTGCTCAGTAACAAAACCAGATAATGAAGAAGCAGTTTACTTTTAAAAACATCGTTCACATTCCTTGGGTTCTGACTGGCTCATTTATATAATTAGATGTTTATGGAAAATTTAGCTTTCAACAACAGCTAAAAGAGTCTTGCTTCAAATTTCAGAAAAAAAATGGTAATTGGAAAAATTAGATATTTTAATTCCAAAAATACTGCAAATAACTTTTTAATATCATTTTAACTCAACTAAATAAACTTCAAGGTCTAAAAACTTAATTTCAAATCCCTGTCTCATACATGGCAATAAAATCAGGACAAATAAAAATAGCAAAGTCTATGCTTTCTATAAATAAGTATATAAAAACTTAAAAAGAGAAAAACTAAGTACTGTATATTTATTCAATAGTAGAAGAACAGCTAGTACATTTTTAATGTCAGATATGTAGCTCTCATCACTCAACACAAGCTAGATAAATAAATAAAGCTAGAAGAAATGCAACGATAATTAAAGAAATATACTCATTAGAAAATAAAAACAATGACCAAAGTGATACTATCCACATAAAATTCAGAGAGGAATGAGAGGCAATGGGCAAAAAAAAAAAGCCTTAAGGATATAAATGGGGGGCGGAGGGGGGCGGAAGACAACAAATAAAATTGAGGTTACTTAAACAGGTAGTACTGTGAAACTGAAGACAATTATTAAAGTGGGGGCTTCAAAAAGAAAAAGTCTTACTCACCTGAGTGAGGAACACAGACAATAGATAAAGCAAATAAGAACAAAAGGGAACTTGGCTTCCATTTCCAGGGACAGCTCCACATTTGACCTGAGCGAAACATCCTGCGATGGAAGAAAGCAACAATCAGGACACTTAGAATTCAATAAAACATTAGGGCAATAACAGTAAATGTATAGGTTTCCAGCAGGAACCACCAAATAGAAACCTTTTTCAGTCTTGCTTCTAAATAATGGTGATGCACCAATCACCTCCTTTATGCTAATTAAGCAAAAGAAAAAAAATCCATTTATTTTACTTGCCATCTGGTGGCACCTTCTTTTTCAGAGAATATATAATAGGTGATCTCTGCATGAACACGGGGAAATATTCATATAATTTAAAAATAATATTAAAAAATAAAGCAATTTCAGATTCAGAGTTTAGCATCACATGACCATGTAGGTGGCAAGAGGACAATTATATCAACATCCCCTATAATCTACCAGAAATTCAGACTTTAAGAAAATATTTTCACTGTATAACATCTGCTCCTTCACAAATGGAGACAATTAAAATTAAATTAAATTGCCCCTAGAACAAAGCATTGAATCATTAACAATCCAACAAGATTAATTAATGTCTTTTTCTAGTTATTAATGTATTACAGAGACTAGTAAATGACATTACATGGAGGGGTGGTGCTTTGAAAATTCTCAAATAATTCTCTGTATATCTAATGGTCTTGTCTTTAAGCTCAAAGTTATACTTAATAATGATTTAGACAAGAACAACCATATTATCTTTGCTCAAAAGAGTGGTTTGATATTTTTCATTGACTCAACCCCATCAAAAGAGGCAAGTCAGTGAAGGAGCAGCAAGTACAAAAGTCAGTCACCAAAGAGGACCCTAAATGAACTAGTGACAAGAGAGTCACGAAGCAGGAGGATACATGAGTAGTAATAAGAAATCTCAAGATCTTAACTCCCCAAAAAGAGTTAGTTACTTTGATTGTAAGTGGTAACTGAGAGTCATTTTATTTCCAAAAGAGGGGCAACTAATAAGAAACCTATGGGTCACAGCACAGTTGAGCCTTAGACAACCCAGGAGGGTAGGGGTGCTGCTGACTGTGCAGTCAAAAATATGTGCATAACTTATGACTCCCCAAAATCTTAACCACAGTTGTCTCTTAGTATCCTCGGAGGATTCATTCCAGGACCCTGGAACGATACCAAAATCCACAGATGCTCAAGTTCCTTATATAAACTGGTGTGGGACAATGCATCTAGTAGGCCTTATGCACCCTCAGATTCCCAACCTCAGATCAAAAATACTGTTTTCTATCTAAGTTGGTTGAATCCTCAGATGGGAAACCAGAGATATGAAGGGCCAATTGTGTATATATATATTTTTTTATTTTATTTTTTTAAAAAAATTGGCATATGAGTGAACCCAAGCAGTTCCAACCCATACTGTTTAAAGGTCAACTGTGATACTTTCTCTACCTGAAGGTGGCTCATCTGGAGTAAAATATATAATACTAAACAGGATACCAGAAAAGTGGAAAGAGAAATAAATACTCAAGCAAAAACAGACATCAAATGATTCTTGCACTTGTCTCAAGCATGCATTTTCAATCTGTATTTTTTGGTTAGAGACCATCTAAGTAGCAAAAGGAACATACCCTAGACTCAGATGGACCTGGCTTTGTTACTTATAAACTATGTAGCCCTGGGGGAATTAGCCCTGGTGGTCAGTAGATACCTGACCACCTTGTATTTACTATTTTTCATCAGCAAGTTAGGAACAGCAATGGAATTTAATCCATAGAATTGTTGGATGATTAAATAAGACCATGTCTTTTAAGGATAGTGACTGATGCTCAGTAAGCAGTCTATAAGTATTAGTCATTATTATAACCATCATACCAGGCATACTAATATAAGTGTGGTTATTCCGTCAACCAAGACTCCACCATTCTGCACAGTGAAATCAAAAGAAAAGACTTAAAATAAGAATGGACAACAGGATTAATGCCATAAGCCAACACCAATGAACTGACTTCATGGCTACTTCTGGGATCAGAAATAAAATAAATGATTCATTGGGCCTTGAATACAAAAATTTCAAGTAGTGTCTCATAATCATGCCATGATTTTAAATTCACCAAACTAGAATTACCAGCATCATACAGCCCCTAATGGAAATTCTAAACTAGGGCAGGGTTAAGGTCTAAAGATTTTTTTTGTATGAAAGGTATGTTTTCAAATGCATCCACCCAAAATATTTGAAATTAAGAGCAGTGCAACTGCTTATGAGAAGCAATCTAGTAGAGTAAGTCATCATCATAATAATGGATGTGAACTGTGGACTATAACAGAGTTACATCTTGGAGCTTCTATTTACTGTGTGGTTTGTGAGGCAAAACTCTGAGCCTATTTTTCTTCCACCAAAAAGAACTAGCGATAGCAGGACTTGGCACTTAGTAAGGACTTTTAAAAGGGTAAATGATAAACTTCTGTCACATAGAAAATTTACTCATTTGGATGAATGTGTCCATTTCCCATTGATGCTGGATGAATGAGGTATTTCCCATTCATGCTGAAGATGAATGACTGTGCTTCTAAGACAAAAGCACAATTCTATATCCAAAGAAGTTTTGATCTGAGAGGACCAAAGATGAAGTATAACCTCCTCATTTCACAGAGGAGGAAACTGAAGCCCAGAGCAGACCAATCAAACTTGGCTTGTCAGCCTTACAGATATTAACAGAAGGGGGAACGCCCAAGAGAATACCCAGGAGAAGGCCCAGCTTCTTAATCTCAGTCCCATGTGACAATTTCCTATTGACATGTGACTTATGGTCCCTTTTCAGTTCAAATGCTCTCTGAACAGGATTCAGTGAATTACATTCATTAGCTTGGCAACCCTCAATCCTGTTTATTTCACGTGCTCACACAACTTTCTTCAACTATAAAAGGTTGTGACATTTATGGATTCCATATCCAAACCTGAAGTTGTTTTACAAAAGCTGCCTGCAGCCCTGTCAGACAACCCAGGGCTTGATGCATTCCAGTTCTGAAGACTCCACCATTCTGCACAGAAAACGCACGCAGGACAGGGCCAGTACTTGTAACCAAACATAAACCGTATGACACGCCAACTTTCGTCCACTTTACTGTTTACTGAAGAACAGAAACAAATAAATTAAGACTAGAACAGAGGAAGGAAAACACTGTGTGTCTTCTCAGGGGATCATTTAGCAAAGACACATCCCTGAGATTTAAACAATTTTCTCACAAGAATGGAAAATCCCAAACAGGGTTACTAGGGTTCTAAGTAAAAACTACAAAAAAACATAGTACAATCTGTGTCACTTGGGTTGTGACCTCCGAGTTCTATTGAAGAAAGCAAGGATATTTTTCAGTAGAAGACAGTCACAGACTTTATAATCTGAAAAGAATCTAAAAATCACACAATAAAACCTATCATTTCACAGGTGAAAGAACTATATAATGATAAACCACTTGTCCCCCCCCCCAAAAAAAAAAAAAATCAGTGGTTACAGAGCCAAAAGACCTCCCTGCCCCCAGGTCACCTGGCTTCCAACTCAACTGTCATTCTGAAAACCAAACTACCTCGATTGCAAACTCGCTTCTCCTTTTCTATCTGTAAAGGCTACAAAATACAATATGCCTGAGTCCTATCTCGGGAAGCTTGAAAACTTAACTCTTTCATACGAACTGTCTAAAGGTGGGTACAACCCTTTGTGGGCATGATTTAATCCAAATTCATCGCTGAAATAATCTAAAAAACCAACCATCTTTCATCTATTTGCTCCTACCAGCTCCTTTAAACATCACAGTTTAAAGAGAAATTAGCGAATAAATCCTGAAATTAGTAGAGAAATTGATATGCTACTAGGTCTATTAATATCAGCAATAATTAGAATTAACTTCATTCTCCATGTCCCAAATGAATTTCCCTGGCAAACGCTTTCATAAAGGGGTGTGAGGAGTAGCAGAGACCATGCCTTAATTCTTCCAGAGTGAAAACAATGGAAATTTGGTTTATTCAAGTCTGCTTCTAATTGTACTTTTTCTTCTGGTGAAAGAGCATGTTCCTGAGTCTGATCAATGAATGAAAAGGGAGATGCTATTCTATTACTCAAGATTGTTTATTAAGTTGGGATCATCCTGCTTCAAAAAGGGGGGAGGGTTTATTCTTCAAATAAACCAAATCTGTACAAATCTTGACTCTTACTTGAGCTGTAACATGCATAACTGGCTTGTATCTTAGGTGAAATTAAAAGGCACCCTTGAGAAACACACACACACACACACACACACACACACACACACACACGAGTACATGCAGTTGTGATATTATGCTAGAGCAAAATGATACCATTGGGAGAAACTGGGTAAAGGGTACCCAGGATCTATCGGTATTATTTCTTACAGCTGCATGTGAATCTACACATATAAAATTTTCAATTAAGAAGTCACCCTAAATCCCTGATGTATGTAACTTACTCTCAGATATTTTGGAAAGAAAATTATGTGTGTGTATGTGTGTGTGTATGTGTGTGTGTGTACAGGGTGGAGGGAAGAAGAAAGGAAGGAAAGTGATAAAATAAATTATGTAAATATTTATAATAAGTGATTCTGTGTAAAAGCATACAGGTGTTCTCTGTACTATTCTTGCAACTTTTCTGTAGGTTTAAAATTATTTCTAAGTACAGTTAAATACACACCTATGCGTTTACACTGAAGTGTATCAATGTTTATCTTATGACACATTCATTGCTATTGAGTAAATCATTGCTAGTTTGATAGAAGAAGTGTCTCATTTGAATTTCCTTTATTTGGATTGGCATGTTGTAGTTATTTGTATAGTGTTCTGTTACATATAAATGTTTTTCTTACTGATTTGTAATTTTTTTTTACCAATTCTATACTAACCATGTTAAACCTTTGTCATGTCTGCTACACATGTTTTAAATACAGTAAACTTGAAGAAAACGGAATACTTCCACCCTGAGTAATGCCTGTAAAGTAAAGTAGGCTAATACTCAGGTAGCCACACTTGGTTTATTGGCATTTTCAGTTACAATTGAAATGTCCCTTAAATGCTATCTCCTCAGTATGCATCCAATGTAGACAATGTAATAGTCATCCAATTGGAAATGAACATGGAAAGATACAGTTTTTGCCCAAGCATGCCACACACATTGAACAAAGTCTTTTTCTATTTAGTCTAAAATCTAAATTGTATTTAGAAACTTTTAATCAACCCATCATAAATATAAACTCTGGAAGATATGGGCAGTTAAAAAAATGGTCAGGTTTAAGGAAGCATCTGTAAGTTTATTTTTAATATATAAACTGATTCTCTTTCAAATCATTATTTCCAGAAATCAGAGTGACGTGTCCAGTTAGGCAGTAAAACTACAAGCTTCTAATATTTCCCATAAGCCAAGAGACAATAGCCTCATTCACCATTCACTTTGGAAAAGCACAATGTCATGTAATTTATATAAGCCATAAATGGAACAGTAGCTTCATGCAGCTTGAGACCAATTAATGCAAGTCTTGTTAAACCTACTAAATTCCCTAGGGTATGAAAAAACATGCAGTCCCTACAACTCCAACATATATTTATAAAAGTCCACAATTTCAGAACTTGAGTGCAATGATATATAAATATTCTTTCTCCACAAGTAGTAGGCAGAAAATATAATCAGCTTGTATACTTGAATCTATTACAATTTAAAAGGTAACACAGTTTGTTGCTCATTTTAACTTTTTTCCAAGAAGACAGTAGAAATATTTACATTGGAAAGGTTGGTGTTATTTCCATATGTTCTAACATACTAATATCTAAAAAGAATCAGAGCATCTTAAACCATTCCATGTGAATTATAAACAGCAAAATGGAAAAAAGAAAGAGTTATCTGTCAAGAAATAGGAAAACTTCTAGCCAAAACAGCTCAATAAAGAACTCAATCAACGTACTAAATTCTATATTTTACGTGATTAAATATGCATGCTTTCACTCTAAAATGACATAAGATTTTTTAATCATGTGCAAATTCAAATGGACTACATAACTTCATTTCATAATCAGGACATTTGTCCATTACCTGTTGATCATTTTCACATCTTTTATTTAAAAAATTGGTACTCATATTTTATTTTTACGTATAACATGCTCCCCCCACGCCCCCTCCCCCCCAAGATGTACATAACCTAGGAAAGCTGAAAGTAAGCTAGACAAATATCTGCTGTTAAAAAACCTACTATACTTTCAGGAAAAACTGAGGTTTAGAACAAACTCACATTCATTAAAAATGCGTCACCTTTGTATGAGAACAACTCTTATATGAGACTGTTGGCTGTATCCCAAAATAAATTCAGTCTATACCTTAATGATTCCACTGGCATAAATGAAACTTTAAAGCTCACAAGTGAAGAATGACTTCACATGCAATTTTAATAAAAATAAGTAGTTCCCTTCTAACTGTACTGGCCACTACCAGGAACAGAGCTATAGACTACTGGGCTTGCGGTCATTGCTCTTGCTCCTATTTTAAAAATGTGTACTAGGGACACTGGGAGGTGAAGGTGCAAGGAAGAGAAAAACAGATATGAGCGGGTATGTCTTTTTGCAGGTAGTAAATGAAAGAAGGAATTTAAATGGAAATAAACAAGGATCCAGTAGTTGGGGGAGGTAGGGTGACTATCAATTTCTAGAAACTCCTGTATCTTAGTGAGTGGGAGGGAGAAAAAGTCTATCAGGGTGTCTGCCCAAGGTTAAATAAAACACCAGGGGTAAAATTACATATTACAAGAAAAAGTAACTTCTGAGTTGGCCACAAAAATAAGCCTGGCTCTTTTGAGAACAACCTTCCTTTTTTTTTTTTTCCTCTCTGGAAGGCCAGGCGGTGTGCGGTGGCCCTTCTGCGGGGTTGCTCCGAGGCACCTCACCACTTAGATGATAATTCCATAGAAACAAAACCTATTATTATAACCTTCTCTTTGCCCTATACCCTCCCCCACACTTCTAATTCTATACAAGTCCCCCCGCAGAGCCCATCACATAAATGACACATTCCTTAATGACTTTTTAAATCTACCAAGTACAACAACCTTTTCTGCCCGCTTTTTAAAAACCATTTGAATAACCCAAAGATCCAAGAATAACTCCTCCAGTCCAGGGTGACAATGTGTAAAGTCAACATTTTCTCAGCATACCGGTACCTTCCAAGCCCCAGGTGTTGATCCAGGAGAGCGCTTTCCTGGCAGAGCAAGGCCCCTGGACGCAGGCGCCCGGCCTGTTACTCCTTGTTCAATTTGAATCGAAAACACGCTTTCCCCATTCTTGAAGCCCTGCCCTTTTTTTTTATTATGCTTTACGCCGCCCAAATATGAGGTTTACCTCTCCCTGGAAAAAAAGCAAGCCACACACACACACACACACACACACACACACACACTCGCACACGTCACAGCTCATGCCTCAGGGCCTGGGGGCACACTGAAGACAAACCGGTTTATTTGGTCCATACAGTGGAAGTCCTCACCAAATCTCTTCGTGGAGGGGGCGGGGGAGGGGGGCGCACAGGTAAAGGTGTGACGGAATCTGAGACGATGGGGAGACTTACATGTCGGCATCACTGCGCTGGTGTCCCCAGGGGCCGCGCGGTCATCCTCCGGGTCTCCCCCCGGCTTCCCCGCTCC